GCCTTTTCTTAAGATGCCAAATGGTGAGGAAAAATAGCATCTAACCACCCCTCCAGAGAAGATCAGAATAATGATTCAGAATGCCTCTAGTGTTTTGTTAAATTATCATTTGAGAGCAGCCCAAGAGAGTGTTTAGAGAGGTATGGTATAGTGCTTAAGAGCCAGGATTATGGGTTCAGATCATGGTTTCAAATCCTGACTCCACCCTTGATTAGATACCCACATTCCTCAAGTGTCTGACCACATCTATGAAGTGGACATAATCACAGTAACTACCTCTTAGTATAGCATACATATTTTAAATTACTTAATTTTTGTAAAGTATTTAACACAGTGAGGAGTATGCACAAAACATCCTATACATGTTGATTAAAACTATAAAATACTCCCAGATTCTGAAACACAAAATCACAGAAATACAAAGCCACAGCGACAAGCACACAGTGGGAGGTAATAAGCTTGACTTCTCCCTCGTTCTCCTTGCCCACCCACTTCCCTTCACCGTCATCTGCCCAAACAAGCTGGGAACAGTGGGCAGGGAGAAGTAATTCCATCTCCAGTAAGGTTTGCCAAAGGCAGGCAAGTAGAAAGCGGAATGACAATTGAATTAAATGGTACATTCCTGTTTTGCTAAGGATATTACCTTGATGAAGAAATAAAGGAAAGCAAAACCTTTGGGAAGCAATTTGGCCATATGCATTCAGGACAATAAAACCTTTCCTACTGCTTGTCTCTCGATAATGACATTTCTTAAAATTTATCCTGAGAAAATAATCCAAAACAAAAGGAAAACTATACCTAAGATGTTCATTGCATTATTTCTTAAACAGTTTTATTAAGGTGTGAAAAGAAAATAAATCTTGGGACCCCAAACTTACTAAGCCAAAGGGAAAAGTCAAGCTGGGAACTGGGTTGTGCAAATCTGCCTCCCATTTCGTTTTTTTGTTTTGCTTTGTTTTTTCTAATTTTTTTTTTTTTTTTGAGGTGGAGTCTTACTCCGTTGCCCAGGCTGGAGTGCAGTGGCATAATCTCAGCTCACTGCAACCTCTGTCTCCTGGGTTCAAGCAATTCTGCTGCCTCAGCCTCCCAAGTAGGTGGGATTATAGGCACACACCACCACATCAGCTAATTTTTATATTTTTAGTAAAGATGGAGTTTCACCATGTTGGCCAGGCTGGTCTCAAACTCCTGACCTCATGATCTGCCCACCTCCGCCTCCCAAAGTGCTGGGATTACAGGCGTGAGCCACCACGCCCAGCCCTGTTTTGCTTGCTAAGCAAGATGGCTGCAAAGATGAAAAGCTACACACCTCCCTCACATTTTGCCCACAAGGAAATGTGGTCCCCAAGATCTTTACCCTAAAGCAGTTCAGCTAAAGTTCACCATGGCAATGTAAAGAGCTTATCTTCACAGGTGGGGGACACAGGACAGAACTGAAAGTCATCCCTCTGCCCACTGAGACAAATGCATATCTGACTGTTTCCTCTGTCCTATTGTCTACATTATCTTATGTAAAAATGCAGATTAACTGAGTGGAGACAAAGGCATGAATAACTATTTTCCCCTACCCTCACCCCATGAAAATTGTGTATTTCTCAATGTCCTGCCATTACCCCTTTAAATACTGAAGTCACCAAAATCATCTTAAAAGAAAGGCATAGACTTGTCTCCTGGGTGCACTTCCTTAACTTTGGCAAATAAATCTCCTAAAATGACTGAGACTTGCCTCAGTCATTTTCCTTGATTGATAAAGGTATAATTCATCCTTTTTTTTCTTTTGAGACAGAGTCTCGCTCTGTTGCCAGGCTGGAGTGCAGCGGCACAATTTTGGCTCAGCTCACTACAACCTCTGCCTCCTGGGTTCAAGCAATTCTCCTGCCTCAGCCTCTGGAGTAGCTGGGACTACAGGCAGGTTCTACAATGCCCAGCTAATTTTTGCATTCTTAGTAGAGATGGGGTTTCACCATGTTGACCAGGATAGTATCTATCTCTTAATCTCATGATCCACCTGCCTAGGACTCCCAAAGTGCTGGAATTACAGGCGTGAGCCACCATGCCTGGCCAATTCATTCTTTTAAAGTACACAATGCAGTGGGGTTTTTAAAGAACTATTCACAGAGTTGTGCAAATATCACCATTATGTAATTTTAAAACATTTTCACCACCCAGTATGAAACGCATTTGCAGTTACTGTCGATTTCTCCCTCTGCCTCCCCACCCCTAGCAACTTCTAATCTACTTTGTCTTTTGCATTGTTATTATTGAATTAATTTTTGAGACAGGGTCTCACTCTGCTGCCCAGGCTGGAATGCAGTGCATGATCATGGCTCACTGAAGCCACAACCTCCATGGTTCAAGCAATCCTCCCACCTCAGCCTCCTGAGTAGCTAGAACTACAGGCGTGCACTACTACCCCAGCTAATTTTGGGTTGTTTTTTTTTTTTTTTTGGCATGATCACAACTCACTGCAGCCTCAACTTCCAGGGCTAGAGCAATACTCCCACTTCAGCCTCCTGAGTAGCTGGAACTATAGGTGCACAGCACTATACCCAGCTAATTTTTGTCTTATTTTTGGAGAGACATGGTTTTGTCATGTTGCCCAGGCTCATCTCAAACTCCTGTGCTCAAGCAATCCGCCCACCTTGGCCTCCCAAAGTGTTGGGATTACAGGCATGACCACGCCCACCCAGCATTATTATTAATGGCCAAAAATATTGAGTGAAATAAGTTCAGTGTTATTGAGCAATGTATCATGAGGATATATTAATCAAATTACGGCATATGAGGCCGGGCGCGGTGGCTCACACCTGTAATCCCAGCACTTTGGGAGGCCGAGGCAGGTGGATCACGAGGTCAAGAGATCGAGACCATCCTGGTCAACGCGGTGAAACCCCGTCTCTACTAAAAGTACAAAAAATTAGCTGGGCATGGTGGCGCGTGCCTGTAATCCCAGCTACTCAGGAGGCTGAGGCAGGAGAATTGCCTGAACCCAGGGAGGTTGCGGTGAGCCGAGATCACGCCATTGCACTCCAGCCTGGGTAACAAGAGCGAAACTCCATCCCAAAAAAAAAAAAAAAAAAAAAAAATTACGGCATATGGATTCAACAAAATATTACATGGCTATTTGAAATTACTATAATAAAGTCTTTATCAAGGTGAAATATATACTATATAAAGTATAAAACTTTTAAAAGATACAAAGTGGTGAGTATATTCTGGTTTGCATGTGGACAGCCTGGAAGAAATATATAAACATTTAAATGGCCATGTTAGGATAATAAGATGGTAGGTAATTTTTTTTCTTTAGCTTTTAAATATTGTCATGTTTTATTTTTTAACAAATACAATTTTAAAAAATTGATTTTACATTACTGGAATTGAGAATGTGTGAATGGGCACAGCCAGTCAGCAGTCTAGCCTCTCCAGTTGGGATCCAGTTCTTATCTATTGTACCCTCCTTCAGGCAACCAAGAGCCTTACGCTACAAAGGTCCTTCCTCTCCCAGACTCTCCCTTTACACTTCAGGCCCATCCTCTTTGGCTCCTTGCCACTTACCCTACACCTTCCCATTCCCACAACTCACTCCTTAACAAAGCCCCCTTTCCTATCACACACACTAATGACCCTTGGCCAATTTCCTTCTATTCATGTTAACTGTAAACTGCACTCCTGATTCCAGCTGTACTTTCCCCTTCTGAGCAGAACAGTGAGGAAACTGGCTGATACAAAACAACAATCCTTTCACTCCCGGGCCTACTTTGCATAGAGACATGCCTCATTTAGACACCCACAGCCTTCCTGCTGTGTCTCCTTCCTCTCTCCACTATTGATCTGGGGCCCTGGGACCGAGATTCTTCAATATCCCACCAGTGACCACACATATATACCACCACTACAGACACAGTTATCCTCATTCTCTCTCTTTCTCTCTCTCTCTCTCTCTCACACACACACACACCATCTGCTATGCTCCTCCACCCCAGCTGTCCCTGGGGAGCCTGTATTGGATTGTGCCCCATCATCTGCAGCTCCCCTCGGTCTGTCTGTTGGTCATGCTCTGAAGGAACGGAGCACAGTCTTGTCCATCCTCTGGCTCAAATAAAACGTATGCTTCTACCCACTCTCCACCTCCAAGCACCTACCCCACTCGGACTTAACTGCCTGACTCACAACTAAAAGGAATGGCTTTTGGATCTTCACAGGTGTGAGGCCTGGTGAGAGGGGAGCCTTCTAGTTAATGAGCACCTACCATGTGTCAGGAACCATGTTACTTTCTGGGATTCAGAGATGATTAAAACTAATCATGCATCTTGAGAAACTCACAGTGGAAGGAAAATCGGTAAGCAGAAAAATGCTAGATAGCCAGGTAAATGCTGGGACAAATTTAGGAAGGAATGCTGTGGATATACTGGAGGCAGGCTCCAAAGCAGGCATCACCTCAGAGGTGGATTTTGAAGTCTCAAGAGCTAACTGGGTCAAGAGGTATACACACAAACACTTCCGACAGGTCTGCAGAAAACGGTGAGTCCCCAAAAATAGCAGCTGGGCTATTCCATGCCCAGGATAGCAGGATACACTATTCCATGCCCACACCGTTGCTTCCTGTGTGCAATGCACCGTGTGATGATCTACAGAGATTAAATAAGCCATGGTCTGCTCCCAGTCACTTGAGAGGGAGCTACAAAATAAATTACCCAAAGAGAAGGCAAAGTGCCTAGAGCTGTAATTAACATACAATATGGGCTGAGAGGGAAAGGTTAATGCTAACTCTGGTCCTAAGTACAAAGATCACTGGGAGTAAGAGGTGTACTCTCTTTAGGGCACAGCATGGGTGGGTGGAGAGAGTAAAAACCAGAACAAATCAAGGTGCAGCGGGTTGCAGGTCAGCCTTAGGGGAAAAAGGGGTGGAGACTGACTGGGCTAGAACAAGGGATTGGGCAGAGAAAGAGGGTGGGGCCAGTGGGCTCCTCCTACCCACTCCCACCCCTCCTGCCGCCATCTACTTTCTGCAGTCTGTGGAGACAGGTGAGCCAGGAACTCCTCAGACAGGTGTGGGTGCGAGGGTCGGGAGGGTCATGGGATTGGGACCGAGGTATGAGGAGGGAATCTGCAATTCCTTGCTATACAGAGCTCTGGCAACTTCTGGCAGCCTGCTTTTGGGGTATGGGCTGCCTCGGGTTGTTGCTGTTTCAGAGGAAAGAACAGGGCTCCCCTGCCCTCTGCCTCCCAGCTGCTGGACTAACTCCTAGCAGGAAACTTGTAAACTGAGTTTAGCGAGTTAGGATCAGCAGAGGGTAGAGGAAGGCCCTGGCACATGTGGGGTCTAGAAGAGGACAGAAGTGATCAGGGCCTCTGGCCACTGTGCTGGGCCTTTGCCTGTATGATTCTTTCTCAAGCAGTTGTGTCCCTGTATCTTTGGTGTGCCTGTGTGCACTTTCTCCCTCCACCAGGAGCATGGGCTGACACCGGAGGAAAGGAAAAAAGGGAGTCAGACAGGGTAAGTGGGGCTCCCTCCCCTCTTCTCTCTCTTAACAGGGCTGGATTGAGGGCTGGGAGGTGGGGAGTGGAGATCCAGTAGGAACAATCACAGAGGGAGGGCAGGGCCTGGCCCATCACCTGAATTCCAGAGATGCCAGTGTGCACTGAAGCCCCAGACAGGGTGTGCCCAGAACCGGATTCTGGATGGTGGAGAGGGACAGAGCTGGAAGGGAGACTGCAGGGAAGGAGAAAGGAAAGAAGGCAGAGCCATGACACAGTCAACTTACAGAATGGCTGGAAGTCAAGGCTCCTGGGCTGGTTTCCTGGCTATTCCACACACACCAAGACCTAGAGAGATTTGTGGAGCTGGAGGGGACTCTGCAGATTATTTATTTGATTTGAGACTGAAGAACCTAGAAACCAAACAAAGAAATATCATATGGCTACTTTGGTATCTGACACAGCCATGACACCAATTGCTAGTGTAGACACAATAGCTGTGTGTCTTTTTGCAGGAGCCTGGGGAGGGGCCATGGTGCCAATTCACTTACTGGGGAGACTGGAGAAGCCACTTCTCCTCCTGTGCTGCGCCTCCTTCCTACTGGGGCTGGCTTTGCTGGGCGTAAAGCCAGACATCAGCCCCATTGCTTATTTCTTTCTCACATTGGGTGGCTTCTTCTTGTTTGCCTACCTCCTGGTCCGGTTTCTGGAATGGGGGCTTCGGTTCCAGCTCCAATCAATGCAGACTGAGAGCCCAGGGCCCTCAGGCAATGCACGGTGAGTTAAGGGGTGGGTATCATGAGAGGAATACACCTTGGGCCCATCCTCCCTCTCCCTGTAGTCTCTGAGGCATAGAGTCTCCAGTTTCCTCTGTCACTGGTATCAGCGGGAGGAGGAGGCAGGGGCCAACAGAGGATCTTTTGCCCGAGGCAGACAAAAAAAGGAAAAAAGGGCTTCTTTCATTAAAGCCACCAATGACCTTATTTCTCCTCCCTCAGGGACAACGAAGCCTTTGAAGTGCCAGTCTATGAAGAGGCCGTGGTGGTGCTGGAATCCCAGTGCCTCCCTCAACAGCTGGACCAACCACCCCCCTACAGCACTGTTGTGATACCTCCAGCACCTGAGGAGGGACAACCTAGCCATCCAGAGGGGTCCAGGAGAGGACTGGAGAGGCGAATGGCCTCAGAGGGGTCTATGGCCCAGGAAGGAAGCCCTGGAAGAACTCCAATCAGCCTCCGGCTTCGGGGACCACGGGCTGTGTCCACTGCTCCTGACCTGCAGAGTTTGGGGGAACTCCCCAGATTAGAGCCTCTGACTCCACCCCCTGCCTATGATGTCTGCTTTGGTCACCCTGATGACAGTGTTTTTTATGAAGACAACTGGCCACCCCCTTAAACGACTCTCCCAAGATTTCTCTTCTCTCCACACCGGACCTACTCTTTCATTTGATCAACGTTTTCCAGTGCCTACTATGTGTCAGAAACAGTGTTTCTGCCTGGACATCATAAATGGGGACTTGAACTCTCAGAAGAGTCAGGCCACAGTAAGCCCTCCCCAGTTGAGATGTGGGTGGCATAATTTGAGTCTTCTGGAAACATTTGGTGACCTACCCCATATCCAGTATTTCCTGCATTAGATTGAGGATGAAGTAGAGAGGTAATCCAGAGAAGGTGGAGAAGGAAGAATTAACATCCAAGAGGCAGCTATTGCTTCTGTTCCAGGTACTGTTAGAGCTGTTAGATCCCTTAGGCTTGCCAGTTTTGTGAGTTATGATTGAAAAGTGAGGATTCCAAGAGTCAGAGGAATTTGATAATGTGCATGAGGGCACACTGCTAGTAACAGCATTAAAATAACTTGAATGAACTCCTGATCCCAAAGCCTATTGCGTTTTCTTTCCTTTTTTTTTTTTTTCTTCAGACGGAGTCCCACTCTGTTGCAACCAGGCTGGAGTGCAGTGGTACCATCTCGGCTCACTGCAACCTCTGCCTCCCGAGGTTCAAGCGATTCTCTTGCCTCAGCCTCCGGAGTAGCAGAGTAGCTGGGATTACAAGTGCACGCCACCACGCCTGACTAATTTTTGTATTTTTAGTAGAGATGGGGTTTCACCATGTTGGTCAGGCTGGTCTCGAACACCTGACCTTGTATCCACCTGCCTCGGCCTCCCAAAGTGCTGGGATTACAGGCGTGAGCCACCGCGCCCGGCCACCTTTTGTTTTCAACACAAAGTAACAGGAAGCCAAGCCACCTGCATGTCTCCCAATCCCTGTCTAGGGACAGCTGCTGGTGCGGAGTGGAAAACTTCCCATACACAGAATGGGGGGCCAACTGTGTCTACAGAGAGGTGGGCTGAGCATAAGCACCCATGTTCCCCAGCCTCCTGGAGGAGCAAAGTCAGTCAAAGCTCTGGTGATCCCTGCTCCAAGTGGGTAGCAGTGACTGTGCCTCTCCTGCCCAGGGGCTAGAGAGCAGTCCCCATCCTATCTGAACACAGTGGAGTCAGTGGCCCTAGGTGGGCGGACTTCCAGTTTTGACAATGGTGTGTATGAAGGCCAGAAAGAGTGAAACGTGAGCTTTCTGGAGAGGAGATTCCCTCTTGAATCATCCATTATGCAGCCCCAGGGCCACTTGCAAAGCGTCTCCAATCGCTTCTGCCTCACTCCTGCGCTCAGACCTTTAGGCTTTTACTCCAGCCGCGGGTCCTGCTTCCGAGATCACAATATTGAGCACCAGATTTCCTGGACTTGGGTGCCGCCGCTGCGATGCAGGTTTCGGCCGCTGGAAGCTGCTAAACCATAGCTGACGCCGCCTCCCAGCCAGCCTTCCTTCCCTGCGCGGGCATCTGTCCAGCGCCTTGTCGCGCTCTCAGTCTCCTCCACAGCCTGACCCCAACAGTTCACTTCAATAAAGCAAAACTCCAGCCACGCCCGTCTCCGTGAAGTTATCGCCATAGGCGGGGCAGAGGGCGCAGGAGGCCCCGGGAAGATTTCCGCGGGAATCGAAAACCAATCGGATTCCCAGGCCGGACGCAGCACACCCGCCCGCCCCGGCTCTTTCCCCGCCCCCGCTCTTTTCCCGCCCAGCTCTGTTCCCTCCTTGCCTCTTCCCTTTCCGCCGAGCTCTCCCGCTTCACCCCATTGGACCCCGCGGCTGCCGCGAGAGTTCTGCGCCTGCGCACGCACCGGCCCCCGGGGGGGGGGGCGGGGACAGGGTGGGGTGGTGTGGGCGCGCGGCGGCGCGCAGGCGCAGGCGCGGTGTGTGTCCGCGGCTAGGGGAGGGATGTGGGGTAAGCGACGGCCTCCGGTTTGTTTGCGCTGTGGGCGGTGCACATCACAGAGCCCACGAAAGGCGGGAGATGGCGGCGCCGAGCGCGGAGTCCCGGTCCACCCTCCAGCACAAGAGGCTGATGGCCGCTGATATGGGGCGCAGGTAAGTGGGAATGGGTCTTAAGGCTCCTTAGCGGAGCCCAGGCAAGGGGAGCGTGGGCCTCAGGCGTACGGCCCTGCAGCCCCCTCCTCTCGGAGCCCCTGAAAGCAGCCTTGTCCGAACTTCCTGCCAAGGGTGGAAAGCCCGGTAGAGCCAGTTCGTGCCTGACTCCGCGCAATAGCGCGCGGGCGGACCTCTTGGCCTTGTCACTCGTGGGAAAAGACTGCCCCAGCCTTTCTTCGTCCAACCCACGAGGGTTCTGAATAAGGGGAGCTCTTTGCAGTCCTGCCGGATCTTGGCTTCTCTTGAAGATTCCCCATTCTTTCCTCTGGCTCCCTTATGAGGGAAACTGTAAGTTGACTATACACTGCCCCGTTAAAAACCGACGAGACCTGCAGACCTCGGTGCTCTGCCTGATCTGCATTTGATTTGTGTCGACTGTATCATGATCTGCATGGCTTTGCATATAATTACCATATTTTCAAAGAAGTCAATAAAGGGTTTGGAAATTGAGTACTTTTGACAGGACAAAGGGGTTCTTGTGGCTCCAAGTGTCCATGCCTCTGCCTGGTCATTCCATTTCATGGCAGGCATCACCCAAGAGAAAATTGTAATGCCTCCTGCTCGAGACCGAAGATTAAGGTCTTCGTGAAGGGAACCTGTAGAAGGACACAGAATTAAAACGTAGAAACCCCTGTGGTTGTCCTTTACCCCTTCTCCCCTTCCAGTTGTGTCCCAAAATTGTCTGATTGGAAACTTTTGTAATATTCACATTCAAGACTCTGGAGTAGAGGAAGGAGCAGGTGTGCAGAGTGGGTGATACTTCAGATTAAAACTAAAATCTCTTTGTGTCTTTGGATCTAAAGTGAGTGTTCTATAGACAGCACATAGATGATCATGTGTTCTTATCAATTTTGCTAATTTTGCCTTCCCATCAAAGAGGTTAATCCATTTACCCAAAAGGTAATCATTTATAATGGGCCATGTGCGGTGGCTCACGCCTGTAATCCCAGTACTTTGGGAGGCCAAGGCAGGTGGATTGCTTGAGACCAAGAGTTTGAGACCAGCCTGGCCTGGTGAAACCCCATCTCTACTAAAAATACAAAAATAGGCCAGGTGTGGTGGCTTGAATTTTCAAATTCAAGTCTGAGGCCAGAGGCGGTGGCTCACACCTGTAATCCCAGCACTTTAAGAGGCCGAGGCGGGTGGATCACCTGAGGTCAGTAGTTCGAGACCAGCCTGACCAACATGAAGAAACCCCGTCTCTACTAAAAATACAAAATTAGCCAGGTGTGATGGCATGTGCCTGTAATCCCAGCTACTCAGGAGGCTGAGGCAGGAGAATCCCTTGAACCCGAGAGGCGGAGGTTTTGGTGAGCCAAGATTGGGCCATTGCATTCCAGCCTGGGCAACAAGAGCAAAACTCCATCTTAAAAAAAAAAAAAAAGAAAAAGAAAAGAAAAGAAAATTCAAGTCTGGAACTCGAGAGTTAAATGTAAATCAGTAACTTGCAAGTATGGGTGAGATTACTTAGGTAAAGACTCTTTGAGGGGGCGTCCCTAATGGAATATTAACATTAAGGGCAGTCCAAAGGCCCTCTAAAGAAAAGAGGAGCTGGGTAAGCAGAGAGAAGACACCAAGAGAATGATGTCATGGAAACCAGGGGAAGAGAATGATTTAAGGAGCAAATACTTCTGGTAAACTAAAGGAGGAAAACTGTGGCATCATTGGTTGGTATCCCAGCTGCAGTGTTATATATCATCACTATTACTGCTTTGATCTATTTGAAAGTGATTCATTCTTAAATGGGGTTTTGATTTCTATAGCTTTTGTTCTTGTAGCCAGTTTTTACTGAAAGTCTGGGGTAACGGAAATATTACAGTAAAAAGAAGGAAAAATGGAGTTTCAGACTCACTTTTCCAAACTCAGATTCATTGGCTGCTTCCAACCCACTTCCTCTGCTTTGCTATTCTACCTGCTCCCTTAGGTCTCTTGGTTCCTCCAAGACCCTGTGTTTCCCTCTTCTTATTATTTTATTTTATATTATTTTATTTGAGATGGAGTCTCTCTGTGTTGCCCAGGCTGGAGTGCAGTGGCATGATCTTGGCTCACTGCAACCTCCGCCTTCTGGGTTCAAGCAATTCTCCTGACTCAGCCTCCCAAGTAGCTGGGACTACAGGCATGCACCACCAGACTCAGGTAATTTTTTGTAGTTTTAGTAGAGACAGGGTTTTAACCATGTTGGCCAGGCTGGTCTCAAACCCCTGACCTCAGGTGATCTGCCCATCTCAGCCTCCCAGAGTGCTGGGATTACAGACGTGAGCCACCATTCCTGGCTTCCCCTCATTTTTTAACACCTTAGAAATCAGGATGCATTTTAGAGTTTTTAAGTTATAAACTGAAGTTATATCTTCACTGCTATCACGTGCCACCCTTACAGTCGTTACATATTTGGAAACTGACTGGGCAGGCTAGAGAACTCCGGATTTATGTAAACTAGGCATATAGATGACATATATTGGTAATAGGATTATTTCAGTTTATAAGCAGAAGCTGATCTCTTTGCAAGCCCGTAGCAAAATTAGCTGGAGGTGACAGCATGTGCCTATAGTCCCAGCTACGTGAGAGGCTGAGGCAGGAGGATCGCTTGAGTCCAGGAGTTCTAGGCTATAGTATTATGTGCTATGCCAGTTGAGTGTCCACACTAAGTTCATCATCAATGTGGTGGTGATATCCTGGGAGCCAGGGTCCACCAGGTTGCCTAAGGAAGGGTGAACCAGCCCAGGTGGGAAATAGAGCTAGTGAAAACTTCTGTGCTGACCTGTAATGGTATCATACCTGTGAATAGCCACTACACTCCAACCTCGGTTTCATAGTGAGACCCTGTCTCTTTTAAAGTAAACAAATAAGTACCTATCACTGTGACTTTGTGTCATACTTTCTGCTTATCCACATCTTAACAGGATTCTGATCATTTCTAGTGCCATTTTGTCACTGGAACTTAAAACAACATGTAATTATATTACTAGTATCTGTCTCATTTACTTCCTGTTAAAGCCATTGGCTTGAGTTTTTGCCATAGCATTATTTTAGTACTCATCCAAGATCATTATACACATAAATCACTTTCAGCAGCTTAGATAAATAATGGGAGATGTTTTCTGAAATAATTCTCTTAATTGAAATTGGTCTATCAGAGAAGTATTCCTTCTCATGAATATTGTGCTTGGGGATATTATTTTGCTTAAGATAGATATTTCCCTCCCCTAGTCAGACCATTCATCTCAGATGATGTCAGCTGAACATAAACCATAGAGAATTAGAGATTTTTTTTTATGATCAATGTGCTTAGTACATCTTTGATTTAACCATTCAATAAATATGCATAATCTTGGTTATTGTAAGCCTTATTCTTTTTGTTCTTCTGATTCATGCCTCTTCCACTCC